GATTTAAAGAGCCTATACACCATATTCTCTTTCCTTTTAATTTCAAATCCATTAAGTGATCCAAGGGTTGAGAAGGATAAAGTCTTATCCCAATCAATAACCATCGATAGTTATCATTGAATGAGTGATGATGTGATTCACCTTATGCCCTTAAAACACCTCCAAACTTTCTAAAATTACTTAAGTAACCTACAAACCCTAATTACACTTTTAAGCCATTTATCATCAATGAATTTGAAATCATGGCATCACCACCATCTAATTTGAAATAGGTTGCTTATGACAAATGAGGCAATATACTTGATCTATTCCTGATGATTTTGATTCCTAGTACGTATGAGGCCCCTCCCATAGCCTTCATATCGAAATTTTCTAACAATATAGCCTTTGTTGTCTCTTTGATTAACTCTAGCAAGTTACTGCCAATTGCAATATAACCTTTGTCTCTTTGATTAGTTCTAGCGAGTTACTAACAATTAGAACAGCATCGACATTCAATGATAAAAACACTATTTCGCTCGCACTAAACTTAACATACACACAGTAATCATCCTCATTGGGCTTAAATCGTGCTCGGTCAACACTTCATGGAACTCCATAAAACACCTTCTCGATGCTTGTTTCAAGCCATATAGGGTTTTAAAGAGCCTACACACCATATTCTCTTACCTTTTAATTTCAAATCCATTAAGTGATCCAAGGGTTGAGAAAGGCTAAAGTCCTATCCCAATCAATCACCATCAATAGCTATCATTCAATGGTGATAATGTGATTCACTGAATGCCCTTAAAACACCTCCACATTTTCCAAAATTACTTAAGTGCCGTTCAAACCCTAATTACACTTTTAAGCCAATTATCACTATGGAAATTGAAATCATGACATCACAACCATCTAATTTGAAATAGGTTGGTTATGACAAATGAAGCAATATAATTGATCTATTCTAGGTGATTTTGATTCCTAGTACGTTTGAGGCCTCTTCCATATCCTTCATATCGAAATGTTCTAACAATATAACCTTTGTTGCCTCTTTGATTAATCCTAGTGAGTTACTGGCAATTACAATATAACTTTTGTCTCTTTGATTAGTCCTAGCGAGTTACTGACAATTAGAATGTCATCCGCATGTAATGATAAAAACACTATATTGCTCCAACTGAACTTAACATACACACAGTAATCATCCTCATTGAGCTTAAATCGTGCATGGTCAGTACTTCATGGAACTTCATAAACCACCTTCTCGATGCATGTTTCAAGCCATAGAGAGATTTAAAGAGCTTATATACCATATTCTCTTTCCTTTTAATTTCAAATCCATTAAGTGATCCAAGGGTTGAGAAAGGCTAAAGTCTTATCCCAATCAATCACCATCGATGGTTATCATTGAATGAAGGATGATGTGATTCACCTTGTACCCTTTAAACACCTCCAAATTTTCTAAAATTACTTAAGCGTCCTTCAAACCCTAATTACACTTTTAAGCCATTTATCATCATTGAATTTGAAATCATGGCATCACAACCATCTAATTTGAAAATAGGTTGCTTATGGCAAATGAAGCAATCTAGTTGATCTATTCCTGATGATTTTGATTCCTAGTACGTATGAGGCCCTTCTCATATCAAAATTTTCTAACAATATAACCTTTATTGTCTCTTTGATTAATTCTAGCGAGTTACTGGCAATTACAATATAACCTTTGTCTCTTTGATTAGTCCTAGCGAGTTACTAACAATTAGAACGTCATCCACATTCAATGATAAAAACACTATATCACTCCCGCTGAACTTAACATAAATCATCCTCATTGGGCTTAAATCATGCTAGGTCAGTACTTCATGGAACTTCATAAACCACCTTTTCGATCTTGTTTCAAGCCATAGAGGGATTTAAATAGCCTATACACCATATTCTCTGTCCTGTTAATTTCAAATCCATCAAGTGATCCAAGGGTTGAGAAAGACTAAAGTCCTATCCCAATCAATCACCGTCGATAGCTATCATTGAATAGTGACTGTGTGATTCAACATATGCCATTAAAACACCTCCAAATTTTCTAAAATTGCTTAAGTTCCCTTCAAACCCTAATAACACTTTTAAGTCATTTATGACCATTGAATTTGAAATCATGGCATCATAACCATCTAGTTTGAAATAGGCAAACATGGGGCATGCCCCCCCTCTTATTATCTCTCTTAAATCAAAACTTGCTTGTAACTTCAAGTAATATGAGAAGTCCAACCACCAAATTTTCTAAAATTACTTAAGTGCCCTTCAAACCCAAATTACACTTTTAAGCCATTTATCACCATTGAAATTGAAATCATGGCATCACAACCATCTAATTTGAAATAGACAAACATGGAGCATG